TTCATCAAGCCATTCTTGACCTCCACAGTCAGAATCTCACCCATCACTGAATCTTGTCAAGTCTCCCTCTTGTACTGTATATCCAGAGTCTACCTGACCCATTCTTCAGCCCTCCACATATAGTAAGAAATGCTTTTGTGAGCCGAGATTGTGCTGTTACACTCCAGCTTGGGCAACAGCGTGAGACTCTGTCTCAAAAAAAAAAAAAAAAAAAAAAAAAAGAAAGAAATGTTTTTAGGTGATAAGGAAATGGAGAAGAATAAAACATCTTTGCCAGTCTTTACCTTTTTAATATCTAGATTTCAGGATTTCTTGCCATAGCCACTATTCTAGTCCAGGCTCTTTTCCTCCTGCCCCCTGAGGTTTTCTTTAATCATGTTTTTATTTCTTCTGGGAAAACACCTATCAGAATTTTGGGATCCTATGACAGATGTATATTTTATTTATTTCTTTCTTTTTTGAGGCAGGGTCTTGCTCTGTTGCCCAGGCTGGAGTGCAGTGGGGTGATCATGGCTCACTGCAGCCTTGGCCCCTTCCTCACCCCTGCTCAAGTGATCTGATCCTCCCATCTCAGCTTCCTGAATAGCTGGGACTACAGGCATGCTGTACCATGCTTAACCAATGTTTTATTTTTTGTAGCGATGAGGCTTGTGGATACAGCCATGTTCCCTAGGCTTTTCTTGAACTCCTGAGCCTCAAGCGATCCTTCCACTCCAGCCTCCTTAAGTGTTGGGATTACGGGTGTGAGCCACTGCTCCTGGCTTTTCCTGTCCGGTCCTGTCCTGTCCTGTCCTTTTCTTTTCTTTTCCTTTCTTTTCTTTCTTTTTTTTTTTTTTTTGAGACATAGTTTTGCTCTTGTTGCCCAGGCTAGAGTGCAATGGCATGATCTTGGTTCACCACAACCTCCGCCTCCTGGGTGTGAGCAATTCTCCCGCCTCAGCCTCCTGAGTAGCTGGGATTACAGGCATGCACTACCACGCCCAGCTAATTTTGTATTTTTGGTAGAGATGGGGTTTCACCATGTTGGTCAGGCTAGTCTCTTAACTCCCAGCCTCAGGTGATCTGCCCATTTCGGCCTCCCAAAGTGCTGGGATTATAGGCGTGAGCCACCACACCTGGCATAATTTCTTTCTTTTTTCGAGACAGAGTATCATTCTGCCACTCAGGCTGGAGTGCAGTGGCATGATCTTGGCTCACTGCAGCCTCCACCTCCCGGGCTGAAGCAGGCCCTCCACCTCAGCCCCCTGAGTAGCTAGGACTACAGGAACATGCCACCAGGCCCAGCTAATTTTTATATCTTTTATAGAGATGGGGTTTCACCTTGTTGCCCAGGGTGGTCTTAAATTCCTCACCTCATGCAGTCTGCCCACCTCAGCCTCCCAAAGTGCTGGGATTACAGGTGTGGGCAACTGCGCCTGGCCTGCCCAGCCCAGACCAATTTCCAAAATTAGAAAACTATAAGGCTTCTAGAAGAAAATGAGAAGAATATCTTTATGACCTGAGTGTGCACAAAGGTTTCTTAGGGCTCAGGAAGCCATGGAGTCACTTAAAAAAGCAAAAACAAAGATAAATATTAGTACATCAAAATGTAATCACAGCCTACTCTAATAAAATGACAGTGGAAGCACAGGGACCTATTTGACAAAAGACTGATATTCCACACATATAAAGAACCAATAGGCTGGGCACAGTGGCTCATGCCTGTAATCCCAGCACTTTGGGAGGCCGAAGTGGCCAGATCACTTGAGCATAGGAGTTCAAGACCAGCCTGAGCAACATGGTAAAACCCCATCTCTATTAAAAATACAAAAATTACCTGGGCATGACGGCACCTGCCTGTAGTCCCAGTTACTTGGGAGGCTGAGGCTGGAGAATTGCTTTAACTTGGGAGGCAGAAGTTGCAGTGAGCTGAGATCATCAAAAAACTAATAGGGTTCAAGGCCTGGGATTGGGCCTCTGCTGCTCTACTCCTTGGGCCTATGGCTCAGTCCTTGGAGTCTGCTTTCCTTTTTCATGAAGAATGGTGTGTGTTAACAGCTGAGTGGTTTTATTAGCCTGTTTCCTGCCAACAGTGTATGAGAGTTCCTGTTGCTTTACATCCTTGCCAATGTTTGGTGTTGTCAGTCTTTTTAGTTACTCTGATGGATGTGGTGTATCATTATGGTCTGAATTTTATTCCTCAATCACTAATGGTTTTGAGCACTTTTTCCTTTGCTTATGACAATGTATGTCTTCCTCTGTGAATTGCCTGCTCAAATCTTTTGCCCATTTTAAATTGGATTGTGTTGGATATAAAGCTTGGATTTGCAAAGAAAATAAACACTCAAAAGATTTATCAGCAAGGCAAGTTTACTTCTACAGAAGGGTGCTTCTCACAGGTCAGATCACCACAAGAGCACCCCGAACAAAGGAAAGCAGAGACTTTTATTTCTAATGCAAAGGGGTGTCTACTACTGTGTCCTGTCTCCATTGTCTGTAATTGGATAGCACAATCTAAACTGGTCCTGGTTGGCTACTTTGAAGGATGCAGGGAGGGGAAGGGTGCAGGCACTTGCAGGAAGGACAGTTTTGGGGGGAGAAACTCTTGTGGCGGGGGTGGGGGGGTAATTTGCAGGCAGGAGTAGAATATGGGCCCTATAGATAAGGACTGGCAGAGAAGTTGTTTACTGAGACCAGAGCAGGAAGACACAGAGTAAGGAAGTCTGGCCTTGAAAGAAGGGAACAAAGAACAAGGGAGCTTAAACAAGCTAAACCTTTGAAGAAGAACTTACTGTATTTAACAGGTTGTGTGTCTTTTTATTATTGAGTTGTAGGAGTTATTTATATAATCTTTATATCCTGGTCACCTGTCCTCTGTTTGTGGTTGCCTATTCATTTTCTTAGAGTTGGTAAACAGAAGTTTTACATTTTGATGTAGTCAGTTTTCTCTTATATTTTCTTTTACATTTATTGCTTTCTGAGTTCTGTCTAAGAAATCTTGGCTACCTTCAGGCTGTGAAGATAATCTTTCATGTTTTTTTCTATAAGTTTTTTTTTTTTTTTTGTTTTTTTGAGATAGAGCCTCGCTCTGTTACCCAGGCTGGAGTGCAGTGGTGCGATCTGGGCTCACTGCAACTTCTGCCTCCTGAGTTCAAGTGATTTTCCTGCCTCAGCCTCCCTCTCAAGTAGCTGGGATTACAGGCGTGTGCCACCACGCCCAGCTAATTTTTGTATTTTTAGTAGAAACAGGGTTTCACCATGTTGGCCAGGCTGGTCTTGAGCTCCTGATATGATCCACCTACCTCGGCCTCCCAAAGTGCTGGGATTACAGGAGTGAGCCAGTTGCGCCCAGCCTGTAAGTTTTATAGTTTAAGTTTTATGTTTAGACCTATCATCTATCTCTAGTTTATGTGAATGGTGTGAGATATAATTAAATATTTTTTTCATATAGATATTCAGTCATTCCAGCACCATTTGTTGAAAATGCTATTGTATTGCGTTTTCAAAATTAAGGTGACTGTACATCTGTGCTCCCTTTTCTGTTCCATTGTTCAATCTTTATATTAGTACCACACTTTTAATTACTGTAGCTTTTTAGTAAGTCTTGAAGTCATGTAGTTGTAGGTCCTCTGATTTGGTGGTTTTTTTCAAGATTGATGTGAATATTCTAGATCCTCTGCATTTCCATATAAATATTAGAATTATCAGAATTATCTTACCAGTTTCCACAGAAAAGTCTGGTAAAATTGTGATTGGGATTGCATTGAATCTATGGATCAATTTGGAAAGAAACGACACCTAAACTGTATTGAGCCTTCAAATATAGGAACTTGGTGCACCTTCCTTCTTATTTTAGGCCTTTTAAAATATCTTTTTAGGCCAGGTGTGGTGGCTTAAGCCTGTAATTCCAGCACTTTGGGAGGCCAAGGTGGGCAGATAACTGAGGTCAAGAGTTCAAGACTAGCCTGGCCAACATGGTGAAACCCTGTCTCTGCTAAAAAATACAAAAATTAGCCAGATTTTCTTGTTTTTTAGCAATTTGCCTGTGGTGTTTCTAGGTGTCCTTTTATTTGTATTTATCCTGCCTGAGATTTGCAGAGCTTCTTAAATCTGCAAATTTATGTCTATCAGCCAATTTGGGAAATTTGAAGCTGTTGTTGTTATTATTTTTGTAAGTGAAGCTGGTCTCCGAACTCCTGACCAGGTGATCTGCCTGCCTCAGCCTCCCAAAGTGCTGGGATTACAAATGTGAGCCACTGTGCCCAGGGCTGAAGCTATTATTTTTAAAAATATTTCTTCTGTTCAATTCTCTTTCACGTCTTCTGGGACTTCAATTATATGTGTGTTAGACTTTTTGATATTAGCCCACGGATCCTGAGGTTCATTGATTCTTTTCAACCTTTTTCTAAGTTTGCATTTGTGAGCAGGAGTGATAAATCATTCAGGATGATTTTTGAGATTCCTAGTTCAAGAGTAGTTCCTATTCTTTTGTAGGTGTAGTAAAGTATGGTTTCTACTTCTACTAGAAGGCTTTTTTGGGGCGGTAGGGGAGATAGTTATATGTTCTTTGGCTTTTAAATTTTCTTTTGTCTTTCACAGCACTGTTTTCAGAGGGTACCCTTTCTTTTTTCTTTTCTTTTTTTTTTTTTTTTTGAGTTGGTAAATCTTAGT